CCATTTTAGGCTAATATACAGGGGCCATCTCTGGCCCATTTATATAACAGGATCCTAGGGAGAAAAACACCTAAGAAGTAGATGGAGACCGTAGATCCTGGGGGAGAAGACTGAGGAACAGCCAGTTAGGAAAGAGAAAAGCCAAAAGTGTAGAGTTAAGAAAGTCAAAGAAAAAGAAGATTCCCGGAGGAGAGGATGGTCAAGAAAGTCAAATGCAACAGAAAGAATAAATAAGCCTGAATTGTGTCCACTGGCTTTGGTCATTGGTGTCCTGGGCAGAAACAGTTTCAGGTGGGCCATTTTTGGGGAGCAAAGGAGAGGACAATAAATATACTTTATTCTTGGAGAAGCTAGCCAGGAAAGATAAGTCAGCTAGAGAAGATATGACATGGGAGAGGGAGTCACAATGAGAAAGAGCTGATCAATTTTGTTTTTGTTTTTATTTTATTGTTGAGCCAAGAAAAGTGAATTATTGAATAAACAGGTGTTATAGTTATGTTATTGTTACGTAACAAACCTCCCAAAACTTAGTGGAATAAAATAACTCATAGATTTTACGCTCATGGATTGAGTGGATCGGCACATCGGGAGAGCACAATGGTGATGGCTTGTCTCTGTCGCATGATGTTTGGGGCGTCAGCTGGGAAAACTCGGTGGGCTAGGGTCACTCAAAACCTGGAGGCTGAAACAGCTGGGCTGGGGGATCTCTTGCCAAAATGAGGGATATGAAAGTTAGGGAGTAAATGCCCTATGGCTTTTACTCATCTCAGAAGGGAAAAGGAGTCTACTGAGACTGAGGGTATAAGGTAGGAGGCTGGGGGAAATAGCTTCTAAGAGAAGAATTGGGAGCCACACAAGTCCAAGAATTTCTGGATAATATTCAAGGCTCAGCTAAGGTTTCGAATTTGCAGTTGCAAATCTGTTTGGTTGACTTACTTTCACCTACATGCTATGCTAGCGAAGAGTGGTGGCTAAGCAATTTCCTAGGTTGAGAAGAGTCAGATTATATACCACAGCTCATCCTTGGATATTTATCCACTTTCTAAATTTATATGTATCTGGGGAAAGAAAAGCAACAGCTAGACTTTAAACAAAGGAATGAAGAAAGGATACTTAACCTAAGCAAAGTGATACCTGGGAACACTTCATACCACCTCTGCGCCTATTTGTGATATCATGCAGGTGCACATAAGGAATTTTTTTCCTATCTCTGGGAAAAATTGCCCTATCTCGGGAATGTGAAATAGCTGTACATAATGGGGCCGAGTCTAATCTACTGATGTTGGCTACCTGAAGCACTGTGTTGTGAAAGGGTCTAATGCTAAGCCTGAGATTTTGAGGGTGGGGGTGGGGAAAGATGAACAGAGGTATCAGAATGCCAGTGGTGGCATTCATACTTGCCCTTCCGACCAGCTATTCCTATTTCATCCCTTTGAAAGGAAATATGAAAGAAATAGTAATAATTATAATCAAAAACAATAATAGTAACAATCACAAAGCTATTTTTATTATACCATGCAATAAATACATAATGTTACACTTTTATAACATTACACTTTGTGAAATGTCTAAAGGATGTCTGACAATATGAGATCTGTGGGTAAATGTTCGGATATTTACTAAATACTTTTAAGATCCTAGTCTTCTAGGGTCTTCCTCTGACAGTTTCTTTTAATGCCCTAAATTTGTAGCCTTTGTAATCAAATGAAGACTTTCTTGACGTGCATTCCCATTTAAAATGAAGAGCAAATCCACAAATAGCGTTTGGCTTCTTCTACACAAAAAAGATAATTGAATTGTTTGTCTATATAATTGTATACTGGGGCCGGCCCCTTGGTGTAGTGGTTAAGTGAGCGCTCTGCTGCTGGCGGCCCAGGTTCAGATCCCTGGCACGCACCGACGCACCGCTTGTCAGGCCATGCTGTGGCGGCATCCCATATAAAGTGGAGGAAGATGGGCACAGATGTTAGCCTAGGGCCAGTATTCCTCAGCAAAAAGAGGAGGATTGGCATGGATGTTAGCTCAGGGCTGATCTTCCTCACACACACACACACACACAAAAATTCTATACTAACATTTTAAGTAAATTAATTGTTATTCATTTCTGCTAGTTAATTCTTTCAAAAAGGCAATTGAATAAAGTGACTGTATTGACTATTTACTTGTACTAACCAATTTAGTCAAATTCTTAACCTACTATATTTCATTAGTTCTAAGATGCAGATTTTTTTTTTTTAACATTTTGATACTCTAACTTTGAGATTCATTTACAATTGAGTGTATGTCATTACTTTACTGGAGACATTTTTTTTCTTTCTTGATGGTTCATAAAATAATGTCACAACTAACATTCTGTGGCTTTATAGATTCAGAGAAATGCAGTAGGTAAGTGAGAGAAAGAAGGAAAAACTGGTGCATAATTAATTCATAGAATATGAACTGATTCACCATCATGCTTCATAGTAAATTGTACCTCAATGGAATTTCCTCCTTATCAATATCATGTACATTCTAGTCTTCACATGTAGTATATTAATGCCTATCAAGATTTTTCTGAATGATAACTTAGGATACTTTACCTGTATCAAGGTCTAATAGCATTTCAGGAGCTTTAACCCTTGCAGCAGAAATTCATCAGGAGACCAATAAAGTAATTACAGTGGATAAATTCCAGTAGCAGGTATAGTGACACACTTTTATCTAGACAATTATTGAATCATGGAATTTAAAGGGCCAGACCACAAAGATGTTCCAATTTTTTGATAAAACTAAGATCTACAGAGATTTAATGAGTAGATCCTATCCCTCTGTTTAAATGACAGAATGAGACTGCTGCCCAAGAGAATATGAGAATAGGTCATTAATTTAATTCTCCTAGTTATGGTTTATAGGTCAGGCTGTTATGAAATTTTAGAAGGAAATACACAGAATGCAAAAAATTTCTCTATCCTCAGCAAAGATGAGGTTTTATCTAGTTTGGATCCCAAGTAGGAAAGTATGCAACTGTTTGCTTAAGAGTAGAAAAAGAAATTATCTTTATTTAACACATATCTTTTCTTTAACATATGTCTTCTGAGGAATTCAGATTACTCTTTAACACAAATCTTCTGAGGAACTCAGATTACTTTATTAGAAACCTTCTGTAAGATTACATTATAAGAGGATCTTATGTTGTATTTGGTTATTATGCTATGCTTATTTTTTCTAGTTTACACATTGGAATGAGTCCTTAGTAAATAATATTCCTAGAGAATTTTATAATTTGGCTGTTTTTGTTGAACATTTCAAAACTTCTCTTTGTACCATAAAATTTGGCATAGAAAAAAATCTTTGAGACCAATGATATTTCGAAGATTGGTAATTGATACCAATAGCTCAAGAATGCAGCTTTATAAATTTGCCTTAGGGGAGCACTTTATAAAAATTAATAAGATGACAAAATACAATGGCCACAGTAGTTCAGGCGTTCTTGCAGACATGCCTTTATTAGCATTCTTTGAAAATACAGAAAGGAAAGTATCTAGTGAGTCCAAATTATTTTCTCAAGTCCAAAATATTTACTGATACAGCAAAAATATTTATGTAAAAATATGTTCTTAGTAAAGAATTAAATTATTTCATTTGTGATTTTGCAGCAGGCTAAAAGTAGCCAATTCCATGATCAAGCCCTTAGAGTTAACTTGCTTCTAAGAACAGAATGTAATTTAAGGGATAGAGTAGACAGAGGGTGAGTAGAAACCTAAATGAGTTATTGCTCTTTAAAAGAACTGAAATACTTAAACTATGCCTTATATTTTCATCACTGGTAAAAAAAAAAAAAAAGAAAGAAAATATATATGTCATTTTACTCTGTTTAAGCATTAGTGGGATTTTTTAATGTATGATCATATCTATTATAGTACATTTCTTACATGACCATGATATTTTAATTCTTGATCATAATCCCTTTCCAACCATATAAAAATATGTCTAATGACAAATATTTTAGAAAGCTTTCTTGAGGAAAAAATAAATCAGAGATTGTGTATGTACATCCTTATCTATGTAAATAAGTGAGCTATGGCTTGTATTGAGCTTTAAATAGTGTTTATTCAGCATAACAACCATAAAATAAAAAAACATTTCTTAACAGTGCAAAGTTCAGGTGATTCTATATGTCTTGGAATTTTGTTTTGTTTTTAGTTTGAAGACAGAATACAATCACAGTTGTTATGCAATAAAACCTTTATGCGCAGCCTAGGCAGTGTCCTATAGCTTTACTAGGAAGACTTTTTATTTTCTGACAGTTTGATTTGGAAGAAGTTTTATTCATCTACATCAGTAAATAATTTGTCAACACAACCTTGACTTTTCAAAGTAGAACAGAACCACGTATGTAAAACATCTGAGATAAGTGTATCAGTAATTAGCCTGAATCACCGGTCCCCATCATGGTTTTGCCACCGTCAATGTCCTCTGTGTACATTCTATTCTTTTCTTCATAACGTTCAGTACTGTAGTAGATTAAGCACCGTGGAAATGGCATTGACTGTTTTTGACCGCCAGGGAAATGCTCGCTTCGTCGTGCTCCCCTAAAAAAAGCAGCTAGGCGCTGGGAACAAATCGGACTCAGTGCATTTTCTCAGTGGAAAGAAAGGAGAACTAAAAGGCCAGGCTATCTCATCCGACATTCGCTACTTTGAGTTTTTTAAGGTCTTCTCTTTGTTTACTTTTAAAACGAGGGAAAAAAACTTCTCGGTATTGGCGTGAGAAATATTTGAACGTCACAAGAGAAAGCAAAAAACGTATTAGTGGCATTGTAGCTGTGAATTTCACGTTTCCTCTTCCCGTAAATAACAACCCCTTTCAATTCTTGAGTTGGGTTTACGCTCCAGCTTTTCAGCCCGGTATCACTTCGGCCACAAGATGGCACTGACCTGCAAACAAAGGAAGAGACAGTGGCACTGACTTTTTAAAAGCCTTGAAAAATTGCCTAGCCTTCCCGGAGTCAAGGACTGTATGGGGATGAGGGTGTACTTTCCTCTGCCCCGTGCGTATATGTCTAAGAATATGTGGATATGTTTAGTTGCTTTTCTTTCCAGAATTCCTAGGCAACGCACTCCCGAGGTGTATATCCAAGGTGAGGTGTTTGTGGGGGAGCTTCAGGCGCTACTCGCGAGGCGCCCTCACGTGATCCCGGGATGAGGTGGAGTTAGGCTTTCAGGGGGCGTCTCTTCCTATCTTCATCAATCTTTAGGATTTGAGCAGGAGAAATAACAGCAGATCTTTTCTCCCTCATCTCCTTCCTTCCATTGCCACCCCTCTAGCTTTAATAAATAGAGGCGAAAAAGACGAATCCGACAGAGGGTAAGTTTCAAGTTTATACCTTTTAAGGGACTTTTGAGAAATCTCTTATTGATGGGGTGAAGGATGAGAGAGGAAGAAAAAGCATGCGAGTACTCGGAATTGGCTCTGGGGAACCGAGGTGGGGTGTGGAGTCAGCCTTTCAGTTTGGTTCCCCGAGCGCGCAGGTCGCAGGATGCTCCAAACGATCTGACAACTCCAGGACTCCTGTCTGAGGGTGTGGGGCTAATGTTGGGAACCGGGAGTTCGCGGCATCAGCACACCCTTCTCTCGGAGGATTTCTGGACGAGATCAGAGTTCTCTCTTCGGGATCTCGAAGGCCGGTAGGGGTAGGAAGGTACCCTTAGTTGGTCTTCCCCTCATCTCGCTTATCTTTCGCATTTTTCTGGAGCTGGCTGGAGCCTCTGCCGGGGGCGGCTGCACTGCAGTTTTCGCGGAGGAACTAGCCGTGGGATGGTCTGGGAAGGGTGGGCTTGGAGGGTCGTCCGCCTTCGTCCCCCTCCTGCGGCACGTGTCCGGCGGGGAGCGGGCGGAGGCGCTGGCTCACCCCCGGGGCCGCGGACCCCAGCAGGCGTGGCCCCTCGGGACCCTTGTGGGTTCCCCGCGACCGGGTTGGAATCGAGCCCTGCTCCCCACCCCGCCCCCCCGTGCTGGGCCCTCCCAGTCTGTCGCTGCGCCCTGGTAGACACCCTGAGCCCTGTCCTCCTATTTCTGAGTTTTAATCATCGAAGTCTTTAGCTCCTTTTAGAACAGAGATGATGGAGCCCGGCTGGGTTGGGAGTTTGGTGACACACTGGAGGAGGAGGTAGCTGAAGAGTGTTCCGTTGGTCCCCAGGTAGACTGGAAGGGGCGAATGTTTTAAGGACTGATGTTGGGCCGAGGAGAGAGAATTGACTCAGTTTGGGCTCTGCTTGTTTTGGGTTGGTTTGGATGTTTTCTGTTTCGCTAGTCTCTCATCATCTCCGGTAGAGACGTTCCCGGATAGATGGGTGGGGAATGTGTGTGTGGGGGGAGAGGGGGTTGGGAATGGGGAAAATCTGGGGCAGTTTACCTAGTTACACAATATGAAAAAGGTGGGTGCGTAAGCATGCCCCTTTAACACATCCCGTTTCGTTCTTTGGTAATTCCTGGAGCACAGGAAAAACCTAGGAGAGGGAAGAGAGAAGGCATGAGTTTTGACATTCCATTTTTTTCCCTCATTGGTCTCAAATTTGTCTACGAGAAAGCATAACTTGCTAGGTGGCACACACAGGCAGCCGAAGTGCAGAATATGCCTGGCTCTGCCTGGACAGAAACAGAGAAAGAGCAGCCGTCAGTCCAAGCCTCGAGGCTGCTTCCCTGGCGAAGCAAGAGAGAGCAGAAAGGTCTCCGGCCCAGTTCCCCACCCACGACGAAAGACTGAGTGCTTTTCGGTGGGTGGCTCCTGCTTTATTAGTCCTTCCTTATTGTTTTAAGGCAGCTGTCTGTTGAACAAGCCCTCCTCGGACAGGAAGGAGCAGAGAATTATGTAACTCATGTAGATAAACTAGCAGTAACTTTGGGAGGCTGCGTGTAACAAGGCTGACATTTCTTTTCCAAAACAAGTGAGGTGAGCAGCCAGTTCTGAGTAACTGAAAAAATTTATCTGCAGCAGGTTATGACCAGAAAGCTGTATTTTCAGGTCGCAACAGCACTAAGAACAGCAAGCAGTGACAGGCCAACATTCTAACTGGAAAGGAGAAGAAAATGTGCCTTTGGCCGGGGGCTAATTTGCCAACTGGCGATGTATGTAGTGTCTCTGTTTTGTTTCTAAATGCATAGGACAGCTATATAAATGAGATTTAACAACGTTTAATTTTTGCAGTGTTTTGTAGTTGCATACCTTGTTTTAAAAATATATATTGGAATAGTAAATAGATTATTTTCTTCTGCAAAGATAATGTATGTAAATTCTTTCTCTCTTAATATTGTTATTTTCTGACAGTTCTTTCTTGAAATTATACTGAGGTAGGTTGAAAATACACATTGTATCCAATGTAGAACTGTTTCACCCAGCTGGAATGATACGTGCCATAGCAGGAGGCTTGCAAACACTTAAAAAAATAAAGTTTGCATTTTCTGTAGAGCTAAGTTCACTTCTACTTAGTAGAAAACTGCAATTTCTCACAAGGTGTGTTTATCAAATATAATTTCAAAGATATCAGAGTAGAGTTTCAGTATATTACCTAACTCATCTGCGAGAAAGCTGTCTTTGTAGCCCATACATTGTAATAATTTAATAAATGTTTGCATTAATTGCCATATGTATGGAATTTTGCCAAAGTAAGTCCGTGGGTATAAAATTTCTACTTTTCTTCCTTTCCACTGCAAACACCTGGGTCTGTGCCTCCATTATCTCTCACCTAGATTATTGCACTAGCCTCTTAAGGAATCTCCTTCTCTTTCCTGTCTTAAGTTTGTTGAAAACAGCAGCTAGAGTAATCATTTTCAAACAAGTCTATAACTTCATGCCCTTACCACATACTCTCCAGTGACTCCTCATCTCTCTGAGTTAAAAGTCAGACTGTCCCATGGAATAAGGCCCTACGCAGTCTGTTCTTCCTCTGTTTACCCTTTCCATTTAATTTCCTACTAGTCTTTCCTTTATTTATTCCACTTCTCCTTGCTGTTTAGCACACCAAGTACACTCCAGCCTTAAAGAGTTTATATTTGTTCTTTCCACACGAGATGCCATCCCTGAGATATCTGCATGGCTTCCCCACTCACCACTCTCAGGTCTTACCATGCCATCTTCTCAGGCAGTCAGAGGCCTTCCCTACCACCCAGTAATAAATTGCAACTCCCAATAATCCCAGTTCTCCTTTCTTGCTTTATTATTTTCCATAGCGCTTATTATCACCTGGCATACTATCTCTTTTACTAATTTATTTTTTCTTGTCTTTCTCTGCCCACAAGACAAAACTCAACAAAAAGGTTACTGCTGTCTCCTTTAAAACCGTGGCTGACAGAAAATAAGGGTTCAATAAATATTTATTGAATGATGACTTTTCTTTTAGAAACAATTCCTTTTTTTTTTTTTTTGGCACAAAGTGGAACATTTTCCCCTATATACCTGACCTAATTAAATGACTATTGTAGTTAAACATCTATTTTGCATGTAAAAGGACTATGATGGAATTGAAATATTGATGTTAAGATGAACTCACCCAAGAACCTACTATTCCAACTGTGCATCTACTATGTCAGTCAACACATTTTTATTCTAAATCTAATATTTGCCAGGTACTATGAAGTATACACACTACTTACCTTAAAGAGGTTATATTATAATTGAGAGGAGCCAGTCAGGGATTCGAGGGACTAAATAGTGCTTTGAAAATGGGTGGAATTTGTAATGATGATGAGACAGAACACTCAGCAAGAGGAATGGCAGGGGCGAAGATGCAAATGTTAAAACAGGTCAGGCCCATTTGCTGACTGAATGAAGAGACTGGCCTGCCTGGAACAGAGCATTCACAATGAGATTATTAGAGCAAGGAGTGAAAGACAGAAGGAAGGCATAATGTAGAGGTCTTCAAGTGGCAGGCTGAGGAATGTACTCAATAGTTCAGACCACATGTGTCTCATATGGGGATACTTATTCATCTGATGGTACTTATTCATCTGATGGTACGTGGTGACAGGGATCCATGAGAAGTCATAGGATAAAGAGGATGCACTTTACTATCATGCTAGTTTTACTTTAAATAATAAGGAAAAACTCACAATTAACTGATAAGTAATGTTGAATATCTTGATAGCAACCTGAACGTGAAGTATGATGCAAAGTTTTCTTGAATTAAGTGAGAAATTTCCAAAGAATTTTAAATTATGACTTGCTTCTTCAAGGTTTATTCTCAGACACTAAGAGACACAGATCATTCTCTCTGCCTTTGGTCTTCTTGAGAGGAAAAGTGTGATTACCACCTAAGTTTAGGACTCATTACAGTTCGTTGCTCGGAGGAGGGGAGAACCATATTTCAAACAATGTTCATACTTGAAATCATTCCACTACTGCTCCTAATCTTAATACTTTCATTCTCACAATGTTACCAACCTTTCTTTTTATTCATTAGTTTTATAAAGCCAAGTTGTGGTTTTATAATAAAAAACACTCCATATTCTAGAAAGCAAAAACACTCAAGGAAAGGTTCATTGGGGCACCACTTAAAAGGCAAATGCACTTTTTGTTCATTAAATTTCTTATCTCTTTTTCAGTGGAAGAAAATCTGCATGATTTTCCTTATTGTTCTCCCATAAGGAAGAAATAAATGCAATTCTCTCTCTTAACACAGACACAATGGCCTGTTAATTAACATAAGAAATCCCATCTCATATATTTACTTAGTAATGTCTGGGAAATCAGAGATCTTTTAAAAAGGAGCTTTTAATCTCTACAAGGTTATTGTCATTTGTCTTGTTGGTAAGAAAAGATTATTTATACCACAAAATGCTGTGAAAAATTAAAATTACGACTAAAACTTAGAGCCCTGCATTGTATCTGTATACAGTCTAGTGGGGAGGAAAGATACGTACGTGAATAAAACCTTAGAAATCCTTTGAAAGCTTCTGGCATATTAGTAACGTCATAGAATCTTAAAGTTAGAAAAGAGCTTCAGTGTTATCCAATTGAACCTCCTACACAATACAAGAACTCCTTGAAAGTCTTTCAACTAGTAGTTATAACCTTTTGTGTATGGAGCACTTGATAATTTTGCAGGCAGTTCATTCCATTTGATTAAACTTTTGTTCCTCATAATGATGTGAAATTTGTTTTGTTTTGTTTTACTTAATATAATAGACTTCCCTTGGTCCTACTTCAAACTTGTGTAGTTAGACATAATATTCTAAGCCCAGTTCCCTAGGCCACAGGCTACCCGTTCAAATATGAGAAGACGTCTATAGCGTTCCTAGTACGTCTTTTCTGGATTAAACATCTTCTGTTCCTTCAATAGTACTTCATATGACAAAGTTTTTCAATGTTTCACTATATTGATCATCTCTTTTTGAATATACTTGTGCTAAATAATGTCTACCTTAAAGAGCAGTTCAGAGTATGCTGGAACTATTACCACAACTTGACCTCTACAGGAATTCTTTCATTTCTATAGTAAGAGGAAGAAATAGGTAATTTTTTTTGTTTTGCTTTGCTTGTTTCATATATTTTTCTTATGTTTTAAGCTGTCCATTGTTTTTTTTGCTATACATTCATATTCTTACAATGTTTAGGAAATGTGTTGATAGACTTGAACATGTTGAGCATGAAATTTACACACACCTTAATAATTTACAGGCCACTCTGTTTTCCCAAAACTCCCATAAGCAAGCCCAATTAAAAATATTACAAGATTTTTTTTCAAAATGTTTGCACTGTTTCTGCTATTTTAAAAAGATGTTGATACAGATTATATTTTGCTTATTTATTTCAGGGTCTTCGCTTTAAATAGTTCTATGAGTCAGAATTCATTTTGACTGCCCTCAATAAAATTAGTAATGCAGTTGGTCATTTTCTCTTTACAGATTTTTCAATTCAAGGGAATGAAGAATTCAGAATAACTTTGCTACATGGATTCCAATATGGGGAATAAGAACAAGCTGAATATTTGACCTGCTTTGAAGAAACATACTGTCGATTTGTCTAAAGTAATCTATAACAACCAAACCAGTCAAAATGAATGCAACATTATTTTCCCAGGTTGAAAATCATTCAATATACTATAATTTTTCAGAGAAGAATTCCCAGTTTTTGGCTTTTGAAAATGATGATTGTCATCTGCCCTTGGCCATGATATTTACATTAGCTCTTGCTTATGGAGCTGTGATAATCCTTGGGGTCTCTGGAAACCTGGCTTTGATCATAATCATCTTGAAACAAAAGGAGATGAGAAATGTTACCAACATCCTGATTGTGAACCTTTCCTTCTCAGACCTGCTTGTTGCCATCATGTGTCTCCCCTTCACATTCGTCTACACATTAATGGACCACTGGGTTTTTGGTGAGACAATGTGCAAGTTGAATCCTTTTGTGCAATGTGTTTCAATCACCGTATCCATTTTCTCTCTGGTCCTTATTGCTGTGGAACGGCATCAGCTGATAATCAACCCACGAGGGTGGAGGCCAAATAATAGACATGCTTACGTAGGTATTGTTGTCATTTGGGTCCTTGCTGTGGCTTCTTCTCTACCGTTCCTGATCTATCAAGTACTGACTGATGAGCCGTTCCAAAATCTAATGCTTGATGCATACAAGGACAAATACGTGTGCTTTGATAAATTTCCATCGGACTCTCATAGATTGTCTTACACCACTCTCCTCTTGGTGCTGCAGTATTTTGGCCCACTCTGTTTTATATTTATTTGCTACTTCAAGGTAAGAAAGCTTTTTCTATTCTACCATTTCCATTTTTACCTTCTTTCCACAGAATTCCTCATTAAATGAGTTGTTCTATTTGAACTCATATTTTTTTTTCCTCTGTAGATATATATACGCTTAAAAAGAAGAAACAACATGATGGACAAGATGAGAGACAGTAAGTACAGGTCCAGTGAAACCAAAAGAATCAACATCATGCTGCTCTCCATTGTGGTAGCATTTGCAGTCTGCTGGCTGCCTCTCACCATCTTCAACACTGTGTTTGATTGGAATCATCAGATCATTGCTACCTGCAACCATAATCTGTTATTCCTGCTCTGCCACCTCACAGCAATGATATCCACCTGTGTCAACCCTATATTTTATGGATTCCTGAACAAAAATTTTCAGAGAGACTTGCAATTCTTCTTTAACTTTTGTGATTTCCGGTCTCGGGATGATGACTATGAGACGATAGCCATGTCTACCATGCACACAGATGTTTCTAAGACTTCTTTAAAGCAAGCAAGCCCAGTCGCATTTGAAAAAATCAACAACGATGATAATGAAAAAATCTGAATCTGCAGTAGCATATGGTCACTGATGACATCTGTTTAGAAACAAGCACAACCTGCAACATGCTTTCATGACCTGTTCTCCCAAGGAATGGGGTTGAAATCATTGAAGAGGGACCAAGATTTTCTTGTCTTGCTTTTTATTGCTTTTGTTATAGCTGTCACAATTACATTTGGAACAAAATGTATGGGCTTTGAAATCTTCTGGTAATAGTTTTGGCCAGACAGCCTCGAAGTGCTCTTTGTAAACTTATGCATATAATATAAAGACTTTTATATTGTATTTATTGGAATGAAATTTCTTTAAAGTATTACTATTAACTGACTTTAGAAGCACTACATCCGTTACTCTCATTAGATTGGGCCATCCTGATTAGATTAGATTGCCAATAGATGGGGCGATCCTGGTGTAATGATAGGCATCATTTCAATCTGTTACAGAGGTGACAGCAGGCAAAGGCAGCATTCAGGATGTGGAGCTAAAAGAGGGTCTATGTCTTGTATGCCTACAGTCTGAAGTCATTCAGACGTGATTTGTACTTTTTTTTAAAATTTTAAGACAGGATTTAATTTGCTCCTAATTGATTATCACTTAAAATAAAAATGCATTAAAAAATACTTCTCAGCTGTGAATAACACAGGGAATTGGGCCACCCACAAGAATTAAGTGGCAAAGCAGTTTCCTAACTTCAAAATTATTTTGGTACCTGACAACCAAAGGATTTCAGAGTAATTAGCTTAATAAATAAATTATTATTGCTGCAAATAGTTGAATTATAGTCCTTTGAATTGATAGTCAAGAGGTTTTCCATTTTTCACGGACTGTTCAGTGTTTGTCAAGCTTTGTGGTGTAAAATACATGTAATTCAAAAGGCATTTCCAGCTTGCAATATATAAAAACACAGAGTGTATTTTCCATACATCAGTGCCTATATAGTAACTTTTTTTAACTTTCAGTGTTGGTCTTTCAAAGAAGGACACCAAGGTACAATGCTAAAAGAATGTTCACCCTGGCTAGCAGGGATAAATACCTGAAAACCGAGAACACTTCATATAGCCCATGTTAACTTGTATAAACTGTGTGCCTTGTGGAGTCTTGTAAGTAATGCACTCTATAGAGCACTGAGTAGTTGTGTCACGTTAATATATTTAATTTCATGTATCCTGTAATCACGATTGAGCCTCAGAATCATTTGGAGAAAAGATATCTTAAAGAACAAGACATATCTTTGATGTATTATACAGTCAAAGTATTAAATGTTTGATTTTAGAAGAGCAGACATTTTCTTTATTAAAATTGTTTTTGCTTTTTCTGAGGAGTCTCTTTCGTGTCTCTCTTCAGCTTCATGTTTTTATTTTGTCCCATGTCTTCCCTCCCATGATGTTCCCACAGAATCCTATGTCTACTTGCTAATGAAACATTTTCTACTCTGTGGTACAACCATGGATGGCCCAGTCTCCCTCCTTTGTTCTATAAGCTTCTTGAAGGCAGGGACTGTTTTACATGATTCTGTGTCCCCAGTGCAGTTGCACAGTGCCAGGTACTTAGAAGCTTTTCAAAAAATATTTCTAAAACAAATCAATGAATAAATAATGACCAAATTTCCTTTCTTCTCATTTATGATCATATTGACTTCACATCCTGAAATTTTCTTGGGCTCCTCCTCCTAAGTTCATCTTTACCAAAGAGGTGTTTTCTCTTTTATTATGTTTTTTTTCCCTTCTCAGCTAAGCAAAAATGACATTGTAGATTTTAGAAACTTGCATGATTAGTTTTGTAAGTCAAACAAATACCAATTTTTTTACATTGAATATAGTATGAATTCAAATTAGAGGTTAAGAATGACTTTTTGTTAACCGAACAAAGAAAAAACATTCTAAAACCAACTTTTAATATATATTGGAAAATATCATCATCTGTCCTTACCAAAACCTGGAATTTTAAACTACCTGATGTTTTTCTAAAAAGCTTTGGGGCACTACTGGGAAATTTAGTCTTTCTCTACTTAGGTGCTATGGAAACAAATTGCCACTTGAGAACAGCTTTAATACGTAGGTGCTTTTTGTCAGCGCATTTGCTGAGGTGGCCATTTCTAGGATTCTCATTCAGCTGTGTAGGCTGCTGATTCTTTAGCTTTAAATAAATAATGAACTGAATATCAAATTCTTCTCTTTTATCCAAAGACGTTGATGAACTAGTAAAGTCTAGGGTCAACAACAGATCCATTCTGATTAAAGAAGAAAAACATTTATGTTAAATGCAAACTTTGGAAGTACTACGTTTTCTTAAACCCAAGAACAAAAATCAATTAATTGGTTTAGTACAAGAGCATAATTATAATGTAGCTTATGTAATTTAGAATAAAATGATAATAGCTAGAATTTTTAAACACTTAGCATGTGCCAAGTACTATTTCAAGTACTTAAGTATCTGTGAGGATGTGTGACTAATATGACCAGTTCACATAAGAGGAAATTGAAGCTCGAGTTGAAAAATTTGAGCCCCAGACTGAGTAACAGGTGAAGCAGGAATCAAACCAAGGTCTGTCCAGTGCTATTAAATTAATCAATGAGCTGAACCTGTGATAGAGTTTTAGAAAATAATTTGTGTTTCTCTCTTTACAAGTTCCATTATTAGGGCATAACAGTACCATTCACCTTCTTCCTGATTTTAGCTGCAGTTAAGAATGCAGAGAAGTGGAATATTTGGGGGAAAAAAAAATGGCCATTGTGATTATGTAATGTATCCATAGTTACCTTCTGAATCAGAGAATTCTACTTAAAAATAGAATTTGATTATTCACATTAGCTTTATTTCTTTGTTGTTAACTGGATATTCTCATCCCCCTTTCTATTACACAAATTTCCAAGGAAATGTAAATCCATATTATACTACAATTTCAAAATTTGACAGCCAAATAAATGTATATTTTGACAATGAAAGTATTTCTCCACATAGACAGTAAAAGTGGTGGAAAGAGATAAGTTTAAGCTGGATTTTCAGGGATGACTCTTTCCTTGTTTCCTCAATGCAATTCAGTGAGTTTATGGCACTGCTAGGTCTTTTGTCACAGCCAGGATTGCTTTCCTCAACAATCAAAGATTCTGCTAGAAAATGTAGTTTCTCAGTGGGACGTGGATTCTTTCACAGTCTCTACATTTTATCTACTTATTCCTGTGGTCCATCAAACAACATGTTGGACTTAAGAGTCTGAGCTGGTGAGAGTGACAGCATAGATTTCTAGGGCAAATTAATAAGATTTTCCAAATTTCCTTCATTTAATGATTCCTTTGTTAATATGTGTGTGTGTGTGTAAGTGTGTGTATGCATGCCACACATTGTATGGGTATGAATATATGTATCTTTAAGACTTGTATGATTCTACAGTGGGTTTATTTTCGCTGCAATTTATTTATTGATTTCTTATGAAAGCTATCACCTATCTAACACTTACCACAAACTACCTATAAAGTAGTACTGTTGCTTTCCTCATTTCACAAACAAGGAAACTGAAGCATAGAGAGGTTATGTAACTTGTCCAATGTCATGCAGCTAGTAAATGACATAACCAGGATTCAAATCCAGGCAATTTGGTTCCTGAGTCTTAATGTGATGATAAGTCTGTAACATACACTGAAAACCTTCCTCATGTGCTGGACTTTGCCTGAATTCCCCCAACCTCTGTCTCTCCTGTCTTCCTGTTATTGGGTCTACTCACGATCTCTATCTGCAGACCAGGCCTGCCCCAGCCCTATACAACCTCAGAAAGATGAAACATAGATATTTTTCACAGCCATCCTCTGAGATCTAACACAAATCCCTAATCAAGGTGATTTAGGTGCAGTTGCAGAATTGAGACACAGATCTGTTTACCCCAAGGATTATCAATGCAAATCAATTTTCCATTTCTCCAAATCTATATCTCCTCGGCTCTCCTGGCTTATACAATCCCTAGTCTTTGTAGTCTCCCAGCCAATACATGAGTCATCTTCTAGGATCATTTTCCCTGTAAGTTTGAAATCTGGGTTTGAAATATGACTAGTTTTTATCAGTCTTCCTCTTTGGAGCCTGAAGCATTACCTTATGGTCTTATAATCTAGCCCACAGGCTGGGGAACTGCCATCTGAATAAAGTCTTAGAACAAGGACTGGTTGACTTCTACATGTTGAATCCTGCCTAGGAGAGAACACAGAGGGCTATCAGTTAAAATTAGTGATTAAAGGTAAACAGGTGGGCTGTGTTTTTAGACATATTTTAAACAACAACTATATTTTATTACAGGGCTACCTTTGTCAAAAATATCCTTGCCTAAGATTCTGTTTGCTTTCACATCAGGAATGAAAATTGTGAGGGTCATTTGGATTTCTGGCCAATCTTTTCCTTTACTGTTTTATTGAGATATAATTGACATACCATAAAATTCAATTTTTAAAAGTGTTTTTCAGTGGTTTTTAGTATATTCACAGAGTTGTACCATCATCATCACTATCTAATTCCAGAGCATTTTCATCACTTGAAAAAGAAACCCCAACTTCCAGTTTCCAGTCTGGGAAGTAAGGAGCTTGGAAGATGTCACTCCATCCTAACAAGTGAAAAGCTGAAAAATCAATAACTCTTCTTAGATCCATCAGAGAAGTGAGGTCACAGGGAAGACTGATGCCCCCCAAATTGGAGAGACAGATAGGCAGATACAGAGAATCACAACTTACTAGAGCAGAGACAGCTAAGCAGAAACCTCCATGGGAACTAGTTCAGGGGTAGAAAAACCCTTACTGGAATTGATGAATTGACGGAGACTTAGACTAGACTAGTCTAAGAGTTAAAAAATTCAAAGGCATCCAGTATTGGGGGGCCCCCACACTTTTGGGTATTTTACCTCTAGGAGCTTGATCAAGTTTTCACAGTGGCTATCAGAGAAAAATCCCCTCGTGCTTCCAGCAGCAGGAGGGGAAAAAGAACCACTTTGAAATATGCCAGAGCATTCAGTTCTTCGTAACAAGTCCTGCCCTCAAGAGAAACTATTTTATCAGGGCCTAACCTGCTAGGGTTTTATCAAAGCCTAATTGACCTGGGAGAATGGAAATACCCAACTCTAGCCACCTCTAGGCTTCCATATGGGAGAAGGGAAATACTCAAATCCAGCCCACTCTAGCCATCCTATCCTACCTAAGGCGAGTGCGAGGAGAACAAATTGAGAAGCATTTGTGAAGTTTACAGTTGAGAAGCTCACTAAAAGCCTGAGACCTAATCTTAGGATTACAGAATGCATCCTCTTCCTCCCAAACTTTACCATTACATCACTAAAGACCTATTTACACATTTTTTTTTTTCACCCAGTACATCAGGTCCAGCTATTAAAAAAAATTCCAAAGCATACTAGGTGAAAAACACAGTTTGAAGAGACAGAGCAAGCAACAGAACCAGATTCAGATATGGCAGAGATGTTGGAATTATCAGACAAGGAATTGAAAATAACTATGAAAATATGCTAAGGACTCTAATGGATAAAGTAGACAGCATGCATTCATAGATGAGCAATGCAAGCAGAGAGATGGAAATTATAAGAAAGAATTAGCACATTGCCAGAGATCACAAACACTGTAACAGAAATGAAGAATGCCTTTGAAGGGCTCATTAGTAGCCTGAACACAACTTAGGAAAGAATGTCTGAGCTTGAGAATACATCAACAGAAACATCCAAAACTGAAAATCAAAGAGAAAAAAGACTGGGCGGGGGGGAAGACCCGGAACGGAATCTTCAAGAACTGTAGAACAACTCTAAAAGGTGTAACTTATGTGTGATGGGAATACCAGAAGGAGAATAAAGAAAGAAAGGAACAGACGAAATATTTGAAACAACAATGAGGGAGAATTTTCCCAAATTAATGTCAGACTCCAAACCACAGATCCAGGAAGCACAGAGAACACCAAGGAAGATAAATGCAAAAAAGAAAAAAAATCCAAAAAACTCACATAAAAAAACCTACACCTAGGCATATCATGGTCAAACTTCAAAAAATCAAAAATGAAGAAAAAGTCTGAAAGACACTAGAGGGAAAAAACAACATACTTATAGAGGAGCTCAGATAAGAATTACATCAGTCTTTACATCAGAAATATTTAAAGTATTGAGAGGAAAAAAAACATAGAATTATGTACACTGTGACATTATCCTTCAAAAGCAAAGGAGAAATAAAGACTTTCTCAGACAAACATTGAGAGAATTTGTTGCTAGTTTACCTGCCTTCCAAGAAATATTAAAAGAAGTTCTTTAGAGAGAAGAAAAATGATATAGGTCAGGAACTCAGACCT